TTGAAAATATTTTAAATCAATTTCTTTTGACCGTATTTGTTAATAGATTTTTTACGCTATAATCGTAGCACGTCTAGTTTCCTATATACAGCCGCTCGATACCGTTAATGGGTCACCCTATATATATATATATATATATATATATGTATATATATTAGTCAGTATAGTATAAATGTTTTGCTGTTTTACGATTACGAAGATATTGGCGACTAAACCGACAGCTAGGCCAGGCAGCTCGCGTGGCTGACTGACGGCGCCAATGACTAGCGGACCGATTGTGGCAGCTCTAATCATAAATCAGTTTTATTTACAATTACTAACGAATTTACGTAAAATTGATAAAAAATAATTACATATTAGTATTCAGGGGAACACGTACTATTACCCCAAAAAAACTGACCCTCACTTGAAGTTACACCCTATATAAACATATGTCCTAAATTCTTTTGTTTTCAAAATACAAAGTATTAAGGGGGCGATTTAGTATGTATATTTTTACCTTCAGCTTCAGATGAGGACACAAATCATCGAAGAAACTAACATAATTGAATATTATTATATATCAATGTATTCGCAATGGTTCCCGCTAGTGAGTGAGATAAATTTCAATGCTCATGAGAACAGAAGGATAATTTAAATAAATGCCAAAGTACCTCAATTTTAACCATACTGTTAGTCTGTCAATATATTCAATATAATGCATTTACGACGGAACTAGGTCAGGCACAATAACCAAACTACTTCACTCACTAGAACGGACACCTAGGATCATTTGTATCTAATTTTCAGATTAATATTTAAGTATTAATAATTCTATAATTTGTGTTCTCAAGTAAAATGACAACATTTTACACACAACTCCATTTTTATTTTGTATCTAAACCAGAATTGTAGCGATTCTAAGATATTCTGAGTATAATTAGTTTGTATACTCTGTCACAGGTGTCGCTACCCTTGAAAATGAAAGTGAAAACACAGAGTTGGTTTATTATAAAATGCGTTCTAAAATAAAGCATAATGGGCTAATATTATCTTTGATATATAAATATGGGTAATTTTTTAAAAGTACCTAAGTAATAAGATTTTGTAAAGCTTAAAGTAGTACGAAAATATAACGCATAAAAAACCAATAATATGTACTAATTTTTCTTTATTAAGAATAAAGATTAAATTTTACGTGCAGGGTGTCCCACATAAAATCGTTATTTATGTTCCACTTCCTTGGTAGCTTCAAAATAAATTTACAGCTTAAAAATTAGCCTGGCTCAGGTAGATTTCTTCTTCAATCTACAAATCTACAAATCTTCAAGCTACTTACCGATAAGAAGGAAACCACTGGATATTTAATGAAAAAAGTTACGACCAAAAAAATTATACATTCTTGAATATAAATATAACTAACACGATTTTAATTTCATATTGTCTTGACAATCAACTTTTGCTTATTTTTAGTCACTTACTATCGAAATAAATGAAATAGACCTCTGAGTTTGGAAACCGATATTAAGAAAACGTAGGGGCAAAAAATTTGAAATTTGGACCATATATAGCCTCACTATTACTCTATTGTGTGCTAAAATTTCAGTTGGTTTCGTTATCCCATTTGTTAGTTATTAATGAAAATGTTGAAAAAATCACGGTTTTCTGCATATAAAATTATTGGTACCTCTCACTTTAACTCGTCGTAATTTTTTTGTTAACTGATAAAAAAAATCCAATTTTTACTAACGATAAGTCGAACTATTGTCTTTAATACTGTAAAGGTCATTTGTCTCAAAAGGTCTTCTTTTTTATTTTTAAGTAAAACAGAAGGGAGTGCTATCTCCGTAAATATGGCGTTCTTTAAAAAAAGAAAAAACTGACATAGGTAGCAAATAACTGTAAATAACAATTTGAAAAAATATGTTAAAATAATACAGTTATAAATTTGATATTCTTAAAAACAGTATCGGAATGGTCAATTACGTTCACGGTCCGATGCAGAGTATACAGTATAGCCTTTATAACTGTATTATTTTAACAAATTTTTTCAGATTGTTGTTTACGGAGATAGCATACCCCCTTCTGTTTTGCTTAAAAATAAAAAAAGAGCTTTCGAGACAAATGACCTTCACAGTACTAAAGACGATAGTGCGACTTATAGTCAGTAAAAATTTGAATTTTTTTTTAAATTTTTTTTCCCGTTATTTTATCATCTTCTAGGTTGAAAAAAATCTCGATTCTGAAAATTTCAAATCGACATTTTAATTCCTAAATGTCACTCATAATTATTTTAATTTTCAAAGTAGTGTAGGTAGGTACCTATGTTTTCAAGCGACTTCTAAAAAATAAATATCAACGAACACAATTTTTTTCATTGAATTTGATCAACAAAATAATAGAAATTAATCACGAGACACTTAATAAATGTCTCGAGGCAAAATTTACTACCGCACTGTGAGTATCAAATATTTATAATTTTTTATTTTTGAAAATTAAAATAATTATGAGTGACCTTTAGAAATTAAAATATCGATTTCAAATTTTCAGAATCGAGATTTTTTTCAACGTAGAAAATGATAAAATAACGGGAAAAAAATTAAACAAAAAAAAATTCAATTTTTGACGATTTTGGAAATTTTTAAAAATCTTGAGCGACCTTTAAAAAAATTTCTTTGAGCTGATTTTTTGAGGGGGCTCTTAAAACATGATAAACTAACATATTTTCACAAGAGACACAAAAAAAATCGGTTTTTTTTGGACCGCCCTACTATACATATTATTCTCCAAACGTAATTAGTAGCAAGTTTCTATATATTTTAGTAATTAGGCAGTGTTTTTTAAATTAATACGACTCACCAAAGTAAAAAAATAATTCAAGTTAAGTATATAATTTTTACTGAAAATAGCAGGTAGTTTACGTATTGGATTGTTAACGTGAAAATATAAACATTAGACTGTTGACTATTCCCGTTATACGTTATTTAAGCTTTTGAAGAAAAAACTACATGGAATTTTAAAAATTATATCTGCTTTTATAATAAAGGAATGGTAATTCTAAGATTGTTTAAGCTTATTAACTAAAAATTATTGCCTACTTAATAAAAAAATTATTATTGTCCTCGATAATCTATTAATGATTAATAAAATCTTTACTCTCTTTCCTTATATATGTATTTCATCTATTATTTTTTATAATAACGTTCAAGTAAATATGTGAATAAATAATGTAACTATTTATTTATAAGTACTTCCAAAATTCATGAAGAAATTTAAGAAATCATAACATATGTGAAGAACTTTATGAATAAATTTGTGAAGTGAATACGTGAAGAAATTTACAATGTAAAACACCTATATCTAAGTAAAGGTAAAAAAACCACTGCCATATGTACATTTATGTCAACTAATAGTGGAAATACTGGGAGGCACTGCCACTAAGAACCTTAGAATTTTGACACCACTAAGGATTTTCAAAAGTATATATATATCTTATTTGACAAGCATTCCAATTTCCATTTACATTCATCCTGAAACAACCTGTGTATAGCTACTCTATTTGAAAAAAAAGTTTACTCTTTATGATACAGGGTACTATCAAATTTATTTAAAAAATATTTTGAAAATAAATAAATAAATAAAATATAACATTCCATTGTTTATATTTTTAAAAATGTTTATTAAATATATTATTTAAAATGGTCAGATTTACAAGAAAAACTTAAGAGAATATTTTTATTATAGATCGAACTTTATATTTTTGTTTTAAAGGCATCCATTACCTTCCTTTTCTACAAGTCTAATAAAACTAAAGAAAATAAATACATTTAAAACATAAACAGCTAGGCACCAATTTTTATTACTTTTATTAGTAGTTGGTTTCTAAAGCTTGATAAAAATACAAGCCATCCTGTAAATTTCTGGAAATGTTTATTGTAGAATAATTGTATTCAAATGAAATTAAAAATAAATTAGAAAGTTCTTTGTTTACCATTGCTATTAAACTATTAGGTACTTTATGTACCTGGCCTTGTGGAATTGTGATCACGTCTTTTCAATTTATCGGGTTAAAAACTGCTAAATGCAAAACAGGTGTAACAGGATTACAATTATTTAATTATAACTCTATTTGTATCTAATTTATAAGTGCTTTGTTTAAAAAAGGTATTGAGGTTAAAACTATTAATATTCCTCTGAAACTAATAGCCACTTGTTTTCATTTGTAATAAAATATACAGGATGTTTGGTAAGTTGATGCATTTCTTGCAGGATGTTATAGTACAAGTGATTTGTGATATATTTCCTTAATATACCATATTCCGAAAACGCTTAGTTTTCAATCTACAGTGTTAAAGTTTTAATAAAAAAATGCAAATTTTGAGATGAATTTTTCTCAACAAAATGTCTGAATCTGATTTGGACTGAGACAGCAAGTATTGGCGGTCGTGAAGGCTTGAAAAAAATGTAATAAAATTTCCAGGGCCGTATTTAAAAAAAATAAGATGGTCCTGGAAAGACGAAAGGTTACATATAAAAATAGATTAGGTATGCCATTCGACAGAGGACAAAAAGTTGCCATGAGAAATTCACCAGAAATTTTTCAATATCACCTCGAACAAGGCTGAAGTAAAACAAAAACGGATTTCCAAAATTTCGTCTTTTTTTCAAATATTTAGAAAACTAATCATGTTAGCCTTGATTTTTTAGAGGCATAATGTTGGTCCCCAGATTACGCAACTTTGACCCCAATTAAGCTAGTTCGTATCTCCCGTCTCCTACCATTATCCCTGTAGTGAGAAGCAAATTTGTAACAGCCTGTATACCTTGAGCGAGGAAATAAACATTTCCGAACGCTTTTCAAGAAATTTCACCGAAAGACCAAAAGGTGTGTGCGGGATTCTTAACCACTGCATGCTTTACAACAAACACATAGTGTTCTTATTATATTTACCCTTAGCACTATTGACTGCATTCCCAAATACATCACTGTTTTTCTGTATATGTGTATATTTATATTTTAGATAGGTTCCATTAATGTACTACTAGGAAATCCATCAGAATGTTGCTTAGATTTAAAATATGCTTCTATAGTTGATACAAATGGCAACTATCCTGAATTATTGCATTTTAAATATACTAGTAATGAATTAGACTCTGGCAATATTCGACCACTTTCAACAGCAACTATTGTTCCAAGAAATTCGAAACTGAATGTCAGTTTCATTCACTATCAACCTGCTCTTCTAGAAGAATGGTATGAAGTCAAAGTAAATATTTCCAATGATGAACACTTTAGCATAAAAAATATGAAGATTGAGGTTGATTTAGAAGAGGATGCAACAAATGGCAAGTTATGCATATTATATTACAATTACCATAAAATTCTATATATTCAATACCTATTTGAAGAGTCCTAACAGTCAGTGTTAGTTTACCTAATACGTTAATTCACATTATATCAAAGAGATCTGTCTTACCAAACATATTTTTTTTTCTATTATAGTTTTATGTAGTATTTGTAATCCAAAATGAAATCTAAAAATGATATGTCTACATCTTAAATAAAGCAATCTTTCAGAGAAACATCCTATATTCCGACGTTCACCTTTGACTAAGTTTCATCACATAAAATTCATCAAGCACCATCCATTCTCGTTACAAATATTGATAGATAGTTTATATGTATATAAATTAAACTTAAAGAAAAAGATGACATTTTTAAAACGACTGTGCCAAAGGTTTTATGTATATTATAATTGTAATGAGAAGGGAAGCTGCCTGATGAAACAATCGCAAGTAAAACTAAATTGAGTTTTTTAGGCAACATCACAAAATCTAATTAAATCTGAAGAGCATATTGGTGACCTTTGTTAGTTCACTATTCATGACAATGATTTTTTATAGGCAAATGAAAAAAATGAACAACTGAAGCTTCTATTAAGGGAATAAAAAACAAATAATTTCCAATCAAACAAGAAATTGAAATTGAAAATAATTTCTATTACAGTTTTAACCAGACCAATTTAATATGACAAAAGTTCCGAAATACCTATGACAAAATTAATTTATATATTCAGAAAAAGCAAAACATTTCAAGAGTATTTGAGGTTATTTCATTGTCCTTACAACTTATTTAACAAAAATATTAATCGCACCAAATCAATAGGTATTTCAATATGCCCATTTGTAACTTGATATATGCAAGCATAAATGAACTGTTATGCAACAATAGTGCCAATTTTTTTGTTCAAAGTCTGACAGTATTCAAAATTATTAAGAAATTTTAAAATAAAATTCAAACATTGAACGTCCTGTATCTTTAAACCAGCATAATGCATATTTGGCACTGATTTTGGCTACCAGCATCTTCTACTTTAGGATTTCCCAACCTTTCGCAAATACCTTGTATAGGTAATGTACAATATAACGTAAAGTATGATCGACTTTCGGGCCTTGGAGATAAGTTTTATATGAATTGCCTGGTATATACAGAGTGATTCATAAAACAATGGGAAAATCGAAAGCTGAAGATACTACACGTAAAATGGTGACCATTGGCGTAAACATGCCTTATTCTAAAGTTGATAGTTTCGGAAATACAGGGTGTTGAAAGTTAAAATTTTAAATCGTTTTTTGCGATTATTTTGAAAATATGTAGGTTAGGAACTTGAAAATTTGTGAAACTATATTTTTTAAGCGAAGAATAAGATGCGTGTTGTAAATTCAGCGTTGCTCATAGAGGGCGCCACTTACGACCAATTTTACAGAAAATTTAGTTAATAACTTTTTACCCTGTATGTCTAACATGAAATTTGGTTCAAAACCTGAAAGAGCAATAATTTTTCCATTAATTATGTACTCTTGTTTCATTTCGGTATCTCGATGCGTTTTCGAGAAAAATAGATTTAACGAACACTATGTTTTGATAATACGAGAAAGTAATAGCGAAACAAACTAAGTGTTTCTTCATGTTATTACAACAATTAACAATAAAACAAATGAAATACCTACGTAATAATGATTTAAAGTAATTGTTCGAAAAATCCACTGTTGACACTGATACACTTTACACAACGTTTTCTGAGAGATCTTCGAGTATGAAACAACATATTGGGATTGCGTCTGACTTCGTTGGCAGCGATTTGTATTCTTTGCCACAAGTCTTTATACGAACCAATAGAATCTTTGTAAACTATATCTTTCATTCGAGGCCAAATAGAAAAATCAAGAGGATGAAGTCTGGTCTTCTGGGTGGCTAAGCAAATATGCTTCCATGGCCTGAAGTTCTACTTTATTTAAGAAGAGACATGTGGTTCATGCACGACGGAACTCCACCGTATTTTTCTCGGCCAGTGCGTGCATATTTAGATGCAATTTTTCCAAATCGCTGGATTGGCCAGGTAAGCATTTTTGCTTATTCACCCAGAAATCCGGACTTCAATCCTCGTGATTTTTCTTTTTGGTCTTGAATGAAAGATATAGTTTACAAAGAATCTATTGGTTCGTGTGAAGAGTTGTGCCAAAGAATACGAATCGCTGCCAGCGAAGTCAGACGCAATCCAAATATGTTGTTTCAAACCTGAAGGTATCTGAGAAAACGTTGTGTAAAGTGTATCAGTATCAACGGTGGATTCTTCGAACAATTATTACTTTAAATCATTGTTACGTATTTCATTTGTTTTATCATTAATTGTTGTAATAACATGAAGAAACACTTAGTTTGTTTCGCTTTTAATTTCTCGTATCATCAAAACATAAAACATAGTGTTCGTTAAATCGATTTTTCTCGAAAACGGATCGAGATACCGAAATGAAACAAGAGTACATAATTAATGGAAAAATTATTGCTCTTTCAGGTTTTGAATCAAGTTTCATCAGGCCCGGTCTGGCCAGGTCGGGCAGTCGGCAAAACCCGACTTATTTTGAAAGATAGGCCCCAAACGACGAGTGAGGCGCCAAAACTATAAGAAAATTATTTGTAAATTCTTGAGATATAGCCACCGTAAATTGCAAAGAAAAAAGAAGAACGTAAAAATGAAAATTTAATCGTTTGTAGAAATGAGATTTTCCCAGGTCAAAAAAATAACACAAATTTTAATATTTTGCCCCATATCCCTATAAACAGTGTAGGTAAAGAAAGAGAGAAATAAATATATATTCCAAATCGTAAGCTCTTTAAACTAATAACTGCTTTATCTATAAACCGTGGGCTTGGGGGAAAAACGAGAGAAATTAATATCTCCCAAACTGTAAGTCTTTTAACCTTAAAATAACCCTTTACTTTATAGCCGTATAAGTTATGTGCCCAGAAGAAAAAATGAGAATATAAATAATAACCAAGAGCTTTAAAATTTTTTAAAACCCTCGGACTATGTTCAAACTATTATTGATTGCCTGTATCCTGCGTCGATAGGTTTAAGTTTATTACCTATATTAATATAATTTTAAAACCAATAATAGCTTGGACGTAGCATATAGAGCTGTAGCGTAAATAAAATCTGTGAAAATGACATGAGTACTGCAGTGGTAAGTATACTTATATTCCTACAGATAGCGGCATAGCGCTTGAAATGAGCTTTAATTTGACCTGCAAATAGATATTTGTAGATTGTACTGGAGCCTGAGAAATGACGATTGAAAGTCACCAGTAGGTATAGCGACGGTTTAGACTGGGAAAATTTCGGGGACCGTGGGAAAGTCGGTGTCCTTTGTCGGCGTCCTTTGGTCCTTTGTCGGCGTCCTTTGGTCCTTTGTCGGCGTCCTTTGTCGGCATAGATCAAAGGTTGGCGTCGCATATGTGTTAATTGGATTTATACAGGTGTGTCCTTGTTGAATATACGGGGGATTAGCGGTAAATTATAATTTAAGATCATCAAAAAAAAAATAATAAAATATATTGATAAAACATATGTGCAGAATATACTTTTAATTTAATACCTTATTGTTTTAAAATATCTAATTGTAAGTCAGCAAAATTATAATTTGATAGCTAGAAGAGATTATGAGAGTTATCGCATCATTCGGTATTGCATCATTTGATGTAAGTCACGTGTTCGATCAATGCAGCATTCAAATTGGCGGTAGATTGAATTGGCCGAGCCGAGCGCGACATTCAAATTAGAGAACATTCAAACTTGACGACGCGGTTTATCGCTGGGAAAGCAACATTAACGGACAGGTACAAATTGTAAGATGAGTGATTGACTCAGAGGGTTCGGAGGGTAGTTTAAATTTAAATAACACGATTTAAAGGTTTGCGTTGCGTAGTCAGAATCGGCAGGGTGCGCGCTGGTGGGAAATTTAAAATTAAATGTAATATTTAATCTCGTGCGCAGAAACAAATGGCCGGACATTATTGCTGGTAAATTCAAAATTAAAGGTAAAATTGAAACGCATATGTAGAAACAAGTAACTGGGCCTTATTGGTACTAAATTTAAAATTAAATATTATGACTCAAGGATTGCATAGAAAGGATTGACTGTGAAATTCAAAATTAAACACGAACAATAATAAAACTCTAAATTTCAACGCATGCATGCTGGTGTTCAACTTTGTGGAATTTACAGAAAATTCAATATTAAAGATCATCAAAATGTATTATGTATGTGCAGAACAACTTGTAACTGATAGCTTAATACATTTAAAATCTATATGTAGCAAAAATTGTATTTTGATACCAATAAGAGAGCAGGAGAAGTTAATGAACTATAAACAGCAATCATTATATCATTCTATTTGGGGCACATGTTCGACCTATGCTTCATTTGAATTGGTGAGATCTTCAACATTAAAATTATAATTCAATGCATGTGCGGTACAATCTTGTCACCTGCTACGTTATTTCCTATCAAATCACAGTATCGGCATACATCGTAATATGTTAAGTCAAAAAGTATAATGTGACATTTTATTTCATTTAAATTTTTGTCGGCATAAATTTTAATTAGATATCTTATAACTGATAGTTTTAATTCACTAACAGAATCATTTATCACACTTCTTAAAAAGAAATAACTTCAGAACATTGTTTGATATCGAAAGTATATACAGGGTCTTTAGTTTAAAGTGTGGAGATCTTAAGTTGGTCATTGACCTGGTCTAAACCGATTTGCAGTAATGTTTCAAAAGAAGCTGTTGGGAAAAAAATTATCATTACTTCGTGGTTGAGAACGCAGTTTAAAACAAGGAGTTTTATGTATAACACTTGATTAACTTATATATTATTTTAAACAAGTGTGTACCAAGGTCAGTTTAGCTTTTTAGAGTAAAACCAACTAAGCAGCAATTTTGATGACTTACGTAAAAGAGATTAAAACAGAAGACCTTGGAACTGCAGTAGAAATTACAGCAAACCTTCTTAAACCTTTGACGTAATGCATGAAATTATTAAGTTTTGTAAGCTCAGAATACTGTGAGAATGTTGTTTTTATGGAAGGGGGTTACACGGATATCTTCATAAGATTAATTTTTTGTATAGACACCGAGCTAACAAAATTTTGAATAGTGAAGATACAGAGATGAATGGACAAGAAAACAGTATATAAAATTTATACATAAGGCTTCGTCCGCCAAAGCGGGCCCAAGTGGTCGAGCGGTGACGTAGGCAGTAGCCGCGATTTTCATCTCAATTTTTAATAGTATTTAACGCGTATCAGCGTGCTAGGTCAAAACGCGGCCGAGCGCGTATCAGTAGATGGCGCTATAAGTGGAGCGCGGAATTAGTAATTAAATATGCGGGCATATTTAATTATGCAGACTACGGCTAAAAATATTTACTGGAATTAAAAGTTTCACTTTAGGAATGCGTGTGTGTTAAAATAGAACAGAAAGGGTCAATCCTTCTTCGTCTTAAATGTTCATATATATTTCTTAAGTTCATATTAAAGCCCAATGACAAATTCTTTTATTTTTTAAATTGTATTGAAATAGAAATTATTTCGCTTAGGTGTGGTAAGAAAACCAAGTTAGTCTGTTTTTCAGACAGCTGTCTCAGCAAAATAAGCAAGTAGCCTGTTTCAATGTCACGATTATCAACTGCAGTCACTGCACTATATGCTGGCTTTCTTCGCGAATATAGCCGTGATTCTAATTAATAATCAATTTTCTAATTAGAATTATTATTATCGTAAAATCAACGAGTCTGCTCTGCTTGTTTTTTATTAAAAGTTTCTTGGACTATTGTAGTGAGTGGTGCTTTGTCTGTGTGTCCTTTTGGATAAAGAAAGGTAAGTGTATATTCATATTTTCAACATAAAAACGTAGCTTTGTTGTAGTTATAATCTTAAACAGCAATTAGATGGAATTATTTTTCATAGTAAAAAATTCTATAATTAATTTAAAAAACTATAATTTAGCTGGTAAAACCGCTTATTAAATACAGCAAACTCACTTAAACGTTTATTATTTAACGAAAAAAAAAAAATATATTTAAAGCCACCATTATACAGGGTGTTATTTTAGGAGTTGAGAAAAAACAATAGCTACAGGGTTACAAATTATTTAACAACGACAAGATGGCGGCTAAAAATCTAAAGAATTATTTTTTATATTATTATTTTTATAGACCGCGGAAAGACAGAGAGAGAGAGAGGGAGAGAGCGCGCGCGAGAGAGAGAGAGATAGAGCAGCGTTGGAAAGGTATGAATGTTAGCCATAGAACGACAGAGTCATGGAGAAACAAGACAAAAACCCATTACTTCAACAGGAAAAAACAGACCAAAAAAAAGTAAATGGCATTAGCAGTAAATTAAAATATAGTGGTATATTAAAGACAACACTCACTCAAACGTTTATTATTTAACGAAGAAAAATTCTATTTAAAACCAGCATTATACAGGGTGTTATTTTAGCAGTTGAGAAAACAATAGCTACAGGGTCTCTATAAAAAGTTACAAATTATTTAACAACGACAAGATGGCGGCTAAAAATCTAAAGAATTAATATTTATATTATTATTTTTATAAACAGTGGAAAGACAGAGAGAGAGCAGCGTTGGAGAGGCATGAAGTTCAAAACAAGACAACAGAACTACAGAGACATGGAGAAACAAGGCATACGAAGGGTCAGTTGCTAGATTTTTCTGCATTGTAGGGCGTGTCGTTTGTACCCATTCAATACACAGTTAAATATGATGATGGCTTGATACAGGTACCCGTGGTCGTGTAGGGGTCAATCTTAAACGATTACCTAAGGATAATCATTGGATTTTTCCTTGCCAACAAAAAAAAAAGGTTTCAACCACACGCGAAAAGCTTAAAATCCGTTCGCGAGCGCGAAAGGCCTTCGGGCTATCGAAACGATAAAAAAATGGCTGTCTTGTGGTTAGGGCAAATTCAAAAATATAATTGTTTGGCGTCATACCCTTAATGCGATTCAAACATCTCGACGGCATTGTTTCAAACTAAACACATCCGTTGTGGTGATAAGCGACTTGTAGGGCATAATTGAACGTTATAGGGTCTTTCCTTACAATTAAAAATTACTATTGACTCTTTACATTAAAAATATAGTACAGTTTTAGTAAAGTTTAGTTTGATGTAATTTTTACATAAAAAATAATTTTTTCTGATTTTTTATTATAATTTTTCGTGAAGTACAGCTTGATTTAATTTTCAAATAAAATAATTTTTCTGCTTTTCTATATTTAATTTTCATAAATTAATTTTTAGTAATTTGCGGATTGAAACAATTTAAAGAAAATACAAAAAAAAACACTTACCAGTTTGGCTAAGGGAAAGCGACAAAAGAGCCCAGAGGGTGGCTGCAGAGGCAGGTAATGGGGTGGGGGTGGTTCTTTGATAGCCATAGGGGGCCTCACAATAATTAGTTGGAAGCCCCAGCAACCGAATTCCACAGAATATGTTCGCACGTATGCGCACAAACGAAAGCGTTATCTATACATACCCCTTGAAGGCGACAACCCTTATCTTATTAGGACTGGTATTACAGACGCCAAGGGTTGTACTCTCCGGCAAGAAAGCAGTACCTGTCAGGCTAATGTGTGGAAGAAAGTCGACCACGAGTATCCGACATGTCTCAACTAGTAACTTATTACGCGTATAAGGTGTCGTGTCGTCATGTTTTACGTCACGTTATCACGTTTTACGTCATGCTGTTATCACATTTGAAATAAGTATCAGTTTAAAAAGGTGTTGAAACATCTTCAATAAAGGTGAGGTTTAATTTTAAAATATGGCGTGTCGTATATCAAATTAAACGTCTTGATTAATGCAATAAAATAGTGGGTCTCATCGATTTTTTCTTTTGTTCGCGATCGGTAATATGCTTGCCCAGTAGATAGAAAGCGCTCACTATCTTTTCGTTTTACTCACCTTCGAAATTTATATTTTTCTCGTATACTTTTGAAGCTTTTTTAATCCATGAATCATGCCTTATCTTTAATCAAACACATCGTAATCACGTGACCTCTTTTCATGCATCACTTACCGGCACTAGTTACATGAAAGGTAATAACTATGAGCCCCTAAGGTCTTCTAGTCAGCTTATCTTTAATCTTTGAACTATTAACAAATCGAGGTATCAAAATTTTTCATCATTAGAGATACCGTGAAGAAACTTCGTCGTTTCAGTCTACAAGGCGAGCCTTGGAATTTAAAATAAAAAACCGTCCGACCGGCGCAGAACCTGTAGGATGAATTAAAGAGGCCATCCAGCAGGCCATAACTAAAGGCGTCGAAGGTCTTAACCCCGAAGACCAGGTGTCTTTCTTGTTTTGTTCCAATGACTTTGCCACAGGCAATGGTTGGGTCCGTTTCAAGCTCGCTAAAGAAGTTACCTACGATGACGTGTGGGATGTCAGCTCCGCTCGCCGTATACCAGTCCAACTTCTCGGCACTAAACACCGAGATGTTCTGTCTGGGCGTGACCTCTGTGCGGATGCCTGTCGGGTAAGGACGCGGCAAGAATTACAACACCTTCGATGAGGAGTGTACCAAGCGGCGTGGTATTGTCGCTATAACAATAAAGACAATTTGTGTTTGCCGTGGGCACTAGTAGTGGCGATCGGTTACGTGAACAAAGACAAGGACCAAACCAAGGTGCGCCGCGATATCGGGAAGCTACAAACCCTGAGGGCCAACGAATTATTACAGGCGGCTAGTGTTACCATTCCCAAAGAAGGTTGCGGTATCCCCGAATTGCAACAGTTCCAACAATATCTAAAAGACTATTGTATCGTCGTATATCAGTACGGTACCAAAGGCCACGATGTTATATTCAAGGGCGTAGCAAAAGACCTAAAATTAAATTTGATTTATCACAAGGACCATTATAATGTCATTACTTCGCTGACGGCCGCCTTCTGCTGTGAATATTATTGCGAGAGGTGCTAGGTCCCATATAATACTAAAAAAGATCATCGATGCGGCGGTATATATCATGCGTGCCAACAGGCGCCAGCATGCCCAGAAGACATTGCCGTTACCTGTACCGATTGTCAACGTAGCTTCAGGGGGCAACAGTACTACGATAATCACCTGACAATTATTGTCATGATTAGAAACTATAATACTCAATCATATCTTACAAGTTTTATTAAGGTCATCTTAAACATCATATTACAATATATTTCACCGTAATTTTTACATTTACATTTTTAAATAAATTCCCTGAGGCTTTAAACACCGAAAACTGGTCACGTTCTTTCACATGGACTGCGGCATGTCCTTTTCTACGATACGTTTCCAGATATAGTTGTTGGATTTCAATGCTTGTTAAAGGGGGTCAAAGTCCATTTTAGACAGCAAGACAAACGATACGGGTTCATAACGTATATAACACGAAGGCTGTTTAATTATTGATTAATTAGTACATCATCGCGAATATTTAGCTTCCTTATCTCTCTCAAAGCTTTAAATTAGAACGCTGTTTTCATTTTCATGACTACCAAGGTATCATGTAGGAATGTAGGGGGGTATGAAATTAAACCGCGCTCGTGTTTTAATGTTTCTAGCATTTTATTAACGTCATTTACAAAAATTTCGTCCTTGACGCGGTTGAACAGGTTGATACTGATGGGGTTATAATCTAAATCTGCTATGACCTGCGCTCTAGGATACTTAATCTGAACCCTTTTCAAAGATTGCTGAAAATTTCTTCTCTGAATTCTAATGATGTAGTATGGGTACTCATGTGGTTGATTTTTCTTTATTATAGCAAACATGTGTCGTTTGTTTGGGTTAATGACCTTTGGACTTATATCTTCAACATAATTTTTCAACGTTTCGTTCCTGGTCTCCAAATCTTGGAACTTGGCCATCATGGTTTCATTATCGTGTTGGTACTTGACCTTGAACTCATTAACGAAATATTCCTTTACTATTCTGCAGCTTATATCATAAAAACCCTTGGAAATCCAACAAGCAATATCCAGCAGTAACTCTCCTCTCACATACCTTCCAGAAATAATAGTATTGTATATGAGGTTCTTGTTGCCTTTTACTGTG